TGAAGATCCAGGGTAGAATAGGTCTGCAGCAACCCATGCTTGCCGTAAAAGGTGACTCTGCTTGTCGTAAAAGGCGACTAACGGGATCGGGTGGTGAGGCTCGCAGACTTGGTTGATGCATGTCATCGTATCCCAATTGCGTGGATCGATGCTCATGATATTAATCACTGGATTGTCTGGTCCAGACTCGATTATTTACAGACCACCGTCATATAGCTGGAATATTGCTGAGTGCGGCGTTAAATAACAAACCAACCAACCAACCTTCAGCCTCTGTCAGTGATTGTCTGAAGAACTTGTTATTTCTTGGCCACAGAACCTGGAGGAGTTGAATGTCCGCTGCTCGGTGATAGGGCTGGCGGCGGAGGTCCGGGTGTGCAAGAAACTGTGCCACAAAACACATGGTGAGTCAGCCTCGTCCTTCATCTGTGATCACCTCCATGGTCTAGTGGTAGAGCATCTCTCTGGAGAGAAGAAGGTCCGGGGTTCGATCCCCGGCCACATCATACCAAAAGATGTTAAAAGATAGTAGTTGTTACAATGTCTGGGAGCTCGGCATGAAGGAGCTAAAACAAGGACTGGTTGGCCCGGAGTCAGTCTACTGTGCCCGAGTGGGGTATTCATGTTAAACTGCGGCACGGTATCTCAGTTGGCTAGCACTATAAAACCGGTCTAAGTCCGGACTGGTACAAGCAGCCGCGTTCATAATGCACGTCGCTACTGATCTTGAACGTGACCTTTTCCTTTTTCACCTCACCTGACATATGTAATGTTTATCTCAAAGACGTACCCGTGGAAATAATCATGACCGTTTTCTTGGATGCAATGTTTAACCCCATCTCAACTCACCTCCGTCATCTGTGGTGGTACTTGGTCCAGTGCACAGCACAAAGGTGAAAACAGTTGAAGTTAAGTGACATCGGTCGCAAAGAATAGTTGGAAGGATGGCCCGCGTACAGCAGTTTTACTCTGAGAGTGAGTGAATGAGTGAGTTGGGTTTAACGCCGCTTTTAACAATATTCCAGTTATATCACGGTGTGTCAGCTTAATGTGGGAGGAAAGCCCAAAGTGATGCAGGTCTCAGAGGTTTACCACTTCGGTGAAACCAACGAGCACAGGTATGGTGCTGACAAACCTAGAAACATGATCGGGGCAAACCGGGATTCGAACCCACAATCATCAAACAATAGTTATCATTGTGAATAATTCTAAGAATACCACCTCTATCACATCAGTGCCATAAATTCCTGTTTATGCTGAGAACCACACTATAATTTTTTATAAATTTTCAACAGACGTCCACTACACTGCCAACATATCCATAGTTGTGAGGGAAACCCTATCCCTTGCCAGAGGCGCCACTGCGCATGCGCAAGGCGGGAATCTAGTCACTTCTTTCAACCCATACTCTCATCAACTAGATGCAGATATTTGGGGAGGTGGGAGGGATTAATTCCTGATGTGATAGAGGTGGTATTCTTAGAATTATTCACAATGATAACTATTGTTTGATAATTCTTGTGAATACCTCACCTCTATCACATCAGTGCCAGTATACACCAGAGGGACCGGCGGGTTCTGGTATCTAGCATCCCATAGATATTTGGCTAGTGAAGTGGTAAAACCAAGGATTATATGCCAAAAGGGGTCTTAAACGGATGTGTCTAATAGTCTACTTACAAGACTTAGACGTATAGAATTTTCAAGGCGTCATGTGAAGGGTATATGTATATTCCCTTGTGATACTTAGACTTTTTAGTGACGTCGTTTCCTGTGATGACGTCATCTGTGACGTCACTTCCGGTGATGACGTCATCTGTGACGTCACTTCCGGTGTCACTATTCTCCCGTATCACTTATGACGTGGTTTACCGTTATGCCCTTTTGGATAGTGATATTTAACGTATCTTAACGTTTCTCCGGTGTGATGACTCCTATGACGTCACTTCCGGTGGTAGTACATTAACCTTCCTATTATGTAGATTACCGTATATCACTTAATCCTTCGATCTCTGATTTCAGTGTTGACATTTGCCCTGTTTTACTAACTCAATAGCGCAGTCCAGTAACAAAGTACAACTTACCCTGAGTTCCTGAGGTACTTCTGAAATCTTCACCCCCCCACCCCTCTTTTTTTCCTTTCCTGGAAGAGGGAGGGAACAGGTTACTTACTTGGTAACTATCACCTGGGCGGCCACCAAAGGCCCCAGAGTGTATAGTCCATTTAGATCGGTCTGTATGTCTCGTAAGTAAAGTTTGAAAAGTGTTGTGGGACTTCCACTGGCAGCTGGCCACGATTTGTTCGATGGATGCAGTATTCCATGTGGTTAGGCTTGTTGCCAGTGCTCTGATTTCGTGGGGTCTGCAGCTACCCCAAATCGGAGTGGAGATTTGTGCCGTTTTATAGCTATCTGTGATAACTGTTTTTAGCCATCCCGCTACAGTGCCCTTTGCGATGTCCTTTTCTGACGAGGGCTTGCAAGAGATAAATAGGCGTTTTCTCTGCTTTCTGTGGGGTTGAGTCGCTGTGATAAAATATCTCAAGGCTCTTATGGGGCAAAGCAATCTATCCGGGAAGTCCACACTTTTACTTAGAGCTGGTATTGTGTATTGCCGATGTCCGAGTGGACCGAAGGTTGACGACTGGTTTTTGGCAATAATTTCAGGGAGCGATCTGAACGACACTGCTTTCCATTCTTTGGTATGGGTTACAGTGGAGATATCAATAGCGTGTAGTTCTGACACGCGAGCCGCCGTAGCCATGGCTAAGAGAAAAGCAGTTTTCTTGGAGACTGATAGTAATGTCGCACTACCCATGGGTTCATACGGTGCTTTCATCAATGCCGACAATACTATAGATAGATCCCATTTAGGAAAAGTACGTGGTACTTTTATATCTTCCCGTGCAAAAGACTTCATAAGTCGATTTAGTACTGGATGGGTACCTATAAATAGGTCATCGTGTTGTAATACTGATGACAGGGCTGATCTATATCCTTCGATAGTGCCGTGTCGTAATTTCTTGTCGTTTCTGAGATGGGTCAAGAATTCGGCTACTATAGGTATCGTTATATCTCCATGTAACTGTTTCCCTCTTCTCCATTCGACGAACTTGTCCCATCTGTTATTATATAAGGCAGATGAGGCTGGTCTCCATGAGCTAGCCACTCTTCGTGCAGCTGATTTAGAGTAACCGGCGGCTTGCATCTTATGCGAGATAATTTCCAAGCGTGAAGATGGAGGTTATCGAGGCGGCCGTAAAATATGTCCGTCTTTGGTTGTCTCAATAGGTCGTGACATACTGGGAGTTTCAGCGGTACTTCCAGCAGGAGTTGTAGACGTCTCGGAAACCAAGCCCTTTTGGGCCAAGCCGGGGCTATGAGAATTATGACACAATCCGTTTCCTCTATTTTCTTCAGTACTCTGTCTAGGAGAGCCCATGGGGGAATGCATAAGCAAACATTCCCTTTCATTCCACGGAGAGCGCATCGACTTGGAGTGCTAGTGGGTCTGGTACTGGGCTGACGTAGACTGGTAGTTTGTTGTTGAGACATGTGGTGAATAGATCTATGTTTGGAGTGTCCCATATCTGGGTTATCCACTTGAACACCTCGGGATGTAGTGACCATTCTGTGGGTACTATCTTGTTTTTCCGGGATAGGTAATCTGCTAGTATATTTAGCTTCCCCGGAATGTGTCTTACTTCGATCTTGCAACTCACTGAGTCCACCAAGGCATATAAACATGTAACCTCCTTCAGTAAAGGCTGAGACCTTGTGCCTCTGTAGGTTAAATCTTGGATAGATGTGAGCGGGCATAGGCGAGACATCCACCAGCGTCTCGACTTGACGGCCTGATCGAGTGGGCTTGTTATCATGTGCTCTACTCTTGCATATCTGTCCTCTGTGGGTGCTGCTATGCCCCTTGTTGAGTAGAATCTTGCGCCTATGTAGGTGATGCCTGTGTGGGTACTAGCTCTGTTTTAGAGGGTGAACCAGGAAACCTAAGAGTGTTAGTAGTGAGGCACACTGTGTTTAAACTAATTGCGCTTGTCCTGATCGGCCAATAGGAAATCGTCTATATACGAGAAGCCTTATGAGCTTATATGGGCGCAAACCGATGATGGGATTGGTGATCCTGGTGAATAACCATGGGGCTAAGGATATGCCGAATGGTAGTACCCTGAACTGGTATCTCTGACTGTTGACTGCAAAGTGTAGGTACCTGGAGTACTGGGGAGTAGAACCCGTGAGTGGTCTCTTGACTCTTTTAAGGTGCTGATAGCCCCTTGCTGAACTTGTGTAATCTTGGGTCGATGTCTGTGAGACCGGCTAGTTCGACTGGATTCGATGTGGTCGTATCTTTGATCTTCTGTAGTTCTAAATCGTTGTCCATTGGGCAAGCGATGTCGGTAGGGTCTGAAGGCATTTCCGGTGGTATCCCCTTCGGGGACTGCTTCTGCTTCCTCCTCTGCGAAGTGGGATGATCATCTTTAGCAGGAACTGTGCTTCTGACGTTAGTCCGGTTGCTGATTGAAGATCTTCCTGCATCTTCAGAATGTGTTCCAGTGAGCTGTTGATGAATCCGGTCTGCTGTAGTGTCATCTCCGTGGGGTGTCTAAGTGTAGGCCTACGTTCTGATTGTTCGGGGTATGACGTTAGTAGAAAAGTTCAACGATGCTCGGCTGCTGTGCGCAGGGGCAACTTGTGTAATCACTCTTATTAATGGCAGGCATACCCAGTCTAACATTAAGTGCCGAAAGTAGCATTTAATGAATATTCGATTCTTGATGACGTCATCAATATATGACGAACAGGGAAGGGTAAGGAATTCTAGAATCAACTGACCGGTACCTCCTACCCGTCACGTTCTAACAAGGTCATCTTGGTATTTTGTCCTTGTATCTGTTTTAAAGGGCGGGCATTAGATTTATAGAGTTCTGCAATGATATGTTAATGGCATAATTATTTGGTCTATAATTAACCTCCGTAGTAGAATCCCCACTGTATAAAAAACAGTATTAGCAATAGATCCGCACCCCCTACTCGGGCTGTGCTGAGACTGGGTCATATGGCTGAGGGTAGCGTAATCCCGGTCGTCTGATCTACGACTGGCCGTGCGGGAATCACGTGTTCTATAACTGTGTGATAGTGACGTAACATCTCCCTCGCTTCTCCGCCCGTGTAACTGGACTGTGTGGCAGTATGAGATGGCGCATGCTTAGGAATTCTATCCTGATTAGCACGAGCTTTGTCAGTTCGTCTATCTAATGGCTAGAGGGTGAATGGTGTGTATTTCTGAGCATACTGCGATGCAATGTCCGTGATTCACGATCTGCCCTATGGTGTACGTGGTAGGGAGGTAATCTATCTCTTTTTTGTTCTCCTGTGTCCTCATAATAATCAGATACAGCGTAGGCTTGCTTGTCTGCTGTATGAGGAAGTACTGCCATATTCAGCCTTATATCTCACTTAATCTCGTGCTTATCAATCCCCGTTTGGTCATGCCGGGTTTGTGCAATCAATTTTTTTTTTTTTTTTTTTAGAGTTTATTCCTGAGCCCTTGATTGCGTGCGCTTTTATCAATTATTACAACATTGAGTTGGTTAATTTCTCCGAATCCCTTTAGTTAAAAACCTGTGAGGTACATCTGCTCCTCAACTTTATTGGGAGATCCTTAGGTCTCTTGAATCTTGTGATCGACCCCTGTTGGCCAAGCCCGGGTTGTGCGACAGATTCTTTTGGATATGAGATTTCCGGAGACATTGATTGCATGCGCTTTTATCAATCTGATCGACCCCTGTATGGCCAAGCCGGGGTTGTGCGACAGATTCTTTTGGATATGAGATTTCCGGAGACATTGATAGCATGCGCTTTTATCAATCTGATCGACCCCTGTATGGCCAAGCCGGGTCATAGATTGCATGTGTGCGTCAATCATAACAGACATTGAATTTTGTTATTCTTTCCGTGAACTCATTTAAGTTAAATGGGGAACGCGGCAGAGGGTGAAAATCGTTAGTTTCTGTCCAAACTCGATGATCGACCGTACCAGACGTTGCCGGATGCAAGTTAGAGGCACTTTCTGTTTGACCGGTAAAATGCATCTGCTCCTCAACATTATTGGGAGAGTGGGATGAGCGACGGGGTCTCTTCTCCTCATAAGGTGAGACGGCGCTCTCGCGCGACACTCGCGCTTTTACGCTTTATACATCATTACAGACATTGAATTCCGAACTCAATTAAGTTAAAAGGGGGAACGCGGCAGAGGGTGAAGATCGTTAGTTTCTGTCCAAACTCGATGATCGACCGTACCATACGTTGCCGGATGCAAGTTAGAGGCACTTTCTTTTTGACCGGTAGAATGCATCTGCTCCTCAACTTTTGGGAGAGTGGGATGAGCGACGCGTTCTCTACTCCTCATAAGGTGAGACGGCGCCCTCGCGCGACACTCGCTTGTAACCCACGTGATTAATATGGCCACCAAGAGCTTAATCACTTGTTTTTACTTGATGCGCTAGTAATCTTTGTAATCAGGATTGTTGATACATGCCTTGTAGAGCTTGTCAATTTTCTCCTTTGACAGAGGCTCGCAATAGCTGCACCTTGACTTTTGTGTGCAGTTGCTTGCATGATAGACATCTAGGGTGAGGGTCACCAGGTATCTGGTGTTGCCCACAGCCTGAACAGACGGGTGTCTGTCCTTGAGATGAAGATCTCATCCCACAAAACGTTTCTAACTAATTACTTACTAGAACTTCCGATCTTCTTATACCCCCGTTCTCTGCTTGTAGACTGCTCACTGCTTGTAGCCTATGAAGCTTGAGAAGATCTAATGTGCTTTGTAAGTGTGGAACTCAATCACGTGTACAGATGTGCAACAAAATATTTTCCTTGTTGTCATCTGGACACACAGGAAAGAAGTGACTAGATTCCCGCCTTGCGCATGCGCAGTGGCGCCTCTGGCAAGGGATAGGGTTTCCCTCACAACTATGGATATGTTGGCAGTGTAGTGGACGTCTGTTGAAAATTTATAAAAAATTATAGTGTGGTTCTCAGCATAAACAGGAATTTATGGCACTGATGTGATAGAGGTGAGGTATTCACAAGAATTATAGGTATTTGGACGCAACTCTGCACAGCGAATCGCCACGCCTTGGACGACTGGGCCACTCGTGCCCCCTTGACTCTGAGAGTTTCTTTGACTTAGGTCTCCGTCATATAGCTGGAATATTGCTGAGTGCTGCGTTAAACAACAAACAAACAAAGCATTGTACTAACAATGTGTGACAAATCTGCTTATGTTTAAAAAAAGGAAGAGTTTTAAGGAATTTTGATTTTTGATCAAAGGTTAACCTGTTAACTGTCGTAAGATTTAATTTGTAAATATTGTTGTTACAGGGTAGTGATTCTTGTTCATTTTAATTAAATATTGTCTTCAATCTCACATGTGACCAGTGTAGATCCAAGGTAGAATAGGTCTTCAGCAACCTATGCTTGCTGTATATGGCAACTGTGCTCGCCGTAAGAGGTGACTAACGGGATCAGGGGATCAGGCTCCCTGACTTTGTTAATGCATATCATCGTATCCCAATTGCGTGGATCAATGCACATGTTTAAAATCACTGGATTGTCTGGTCCAGACTCGATTATTTACAGACCGCCGTCTTATAGCTGCAATATTGCTGAGTGAGGCGTTGAACAACAAACAAACAAACAATTGTGCATGTTCATACCGTGTCAGCAAAGCAGGGGACATAACTCTTGCGAATATCTCACTGATCCAGACCACTGTCTAAACTGGATAAACTTTCGGTCATACATATTTCTGGTTTAGACCAATACCACTCTGTATGACATGTCATTACCACTGTATCATGATAAACTGTCTGCAGGGAAGTACAACGTGATTCTAGACGAGTCTCACTTCAAAGATCTGCTGTACCAACACGTGTCTCCCCCTCCGGCCACGGTAAGCTCCTCACAGTGTCTGTTGGACAAACTCTAAACATGGCAGTGATGTTGAAATTGAGGCAGAATAAATCCCAAGTGGATGAAAAGAAAATATACTAAGATTAAAATAATGAAATGAAAACAAGCTCTACACTTGATACAATTTGTGATACAATAAGTTGAATTCATGATAGTATCTTTGCGATTTTTAAGTCACAAGTCAAAACTGTTTCACAAACAAACATGTTTGAAATGTGTGAAAAAGATGTACGAGGAAAGGGAACACACTGTTACGTCAATACAAGAGGTATGCTTATAATTATTTTTCATCGAGAAATAAATATGTTGCTGTACTTTATGCATTTTTATAATGCTTGGAGAGTTTCATCGTATTATAGTACCGGTACTTTGGTTTATTTCAGTCAAATACAGAATCCTCTTTGATCAGAATGGGTGAGTAAAATCATCATCATCATCATCATCATCATCATCATCATCATCTTTCTGTTTGAACAAGGGGCGGTCGGGTAGCCTAGTGGTTAAAGCGTTAAAACCATACTCACTCACTCACTCACTCACTCATTGTTTGAACAAATATCATTCATATGTTTTTGATTTTGGAAGCAGATTAATATTAACATGAATGAAATAAGATTTAAAAAGAGATTCTAAAAGCATGGGTTGGGAAGCAAAAAGATACATTAAAGAAACCTGCTCGAAGCAAGGTTGATTGGAATTTGGTCTTGAATGGCGAGCCAAGAGTAACTTCCTTCTCAGATTGAGGTACTTTGTGAAATAAGAATTTATTCCTTATTGTGAAAAGGGAAGAAATGTGACCAAATAAGGATGAGTTCTTTGTCAAATTAGGCATTTCACACAACCGATATTGATTACATTGAGACTCATAACCCTGGTCAAGCTGAGTGTTGATGATGCAGGCTTCCCCCACCACACGCTGAATGCTGACCGAGACCAGGGGGAGAAGCCGTCCATGTGTATGTGGTGAGTAGGTGGTGCTCTCAGCATCCATGTGTATGTGGTGAGTAGATGGTTCTCTCAGCATCCATGTGTATGTGGTGAGTAGGTGGTGCTCTCAGCTTCCATGTGTATGTGGTGAGTAGGTGGTGCTCTCAGCATCCATGTGTATGTGGTGAGTAGGTGATGCTCTCGGCATCCATGTGTATATGGTGAGTAGATGGTGCTCACAGCATCCATGTGCATGTAGTGAGTAGGTGGTGCTCTCAGCATCCATGTGTATGTGGTGAGTAGGTGGTGCTCTCAGCATCCATGTGTATGTGGTGAGTAGATGGTGCTCTCAGCATCCATGTGTATGTGGTGAGTAGGTGGTGCTCTCAGCATCCATGTGTATGTGGTGAGTAGGTTGTGTTTTCAGCATCCATGTGTATGTGGTGAGTAGGTGGTGCTTTCAGCATCCATGTGTATGTGGTGAGTAGGTGGTGCTTTCAGCATCCATGTGTATGTGGTGAGTAGGTTGTGTTTTCAGCATCCATGTGTATGTGGTGAGTAGGTGGTGCTTTCAGCATCCATGTGTATGTGGTGAGTAGGTTGTGTTTTCAGCAGTACATATACCCCTGGAGGGACACGCAGCCAGGGTGTGGGGTGGTGGGGTAGGGTGCCACACAACAGATAGTGGGATGGTGGGGTAGGGTGCCACACCACAGATAGTGGGGTAGGGTGCCACACAACAGATAGTCAGGTAGGGTGCCACATAACAGACAGTGGGATGGTGGGGTAGGGTGCCACACCACAGATAGTGGGGTAGGGTGCCACACAACAGATAGTCAGGTAGGGTGCCACATAACAGACAGTGGGATGGTGGGGTAGGGTGCCACACCACAGATAGTGGGGTAGGGTGCCACACAACAGATAGTCAGGTAGGGTGCCACATAACAGACAGTGGGATGGTGGGGTAGGGTGCCACACCACAGATAGTGGGGTAGGGTGCCACACAACAGATAGTCAGGTAGGGTGCCACATAACAGACAGTGGGATGGTGGGGTAGGGTGCCACACCACAGATAGTGGGGTAGGGTGCCACACAACAGATAGTCAGGTAGGGTGCCACATAACAGACATTGGGATGGTGGGGTAGGGTGCCACATAACAGACAGTGGGGTAGGGTGCCACACAACAGATAGTCAGGTAGGGTGCCACATAACAGACATTGGGATCGTGGGGTAGGGTGCCACATAACAGACAGTGGGGTAGGGTGCCACACAACAGATAGTCAGGTAGGGTGCCACATAACAGACAATTGGATGGTGGGGTAGGGTGCCACATAACAGACAGTGGGGTAGGGTGCCACACAACAGACAGTGGGGTAGGGTGCCACACAACAGACAGTGGGGTAGGGTGCCACACAACATACGGTGGGGTAGGGTGCCACACAACAGATAGTCAGGTAGGGTGCCACACAACAGACAATTGGATGGTGGGGTAGGGTGCCACACAACAGACAGTGGGGTAGGGTGCCACACAACAGACAGTGGGGTAGGGTGCCACACAACAGACAGTGGGGTAGGGTGCCACACAACAGACAGTGGGGTAGAGTGCCACACCACAGACAGTGGGGTAGGGTGCCACACAACAGACAGTGGGGTAGGGTGCCACACAACAGACAGTGGGGTAGGGTGCCACACAACAGACAGTGGGGTAGGGTGCCACACCACAGACAGTGGGGTAGGGTGCCACACAACAGACAGTGGGGTAGGGTGCCACACAACAGACAGTGGGGGAGGGTGCCACACAACAGACAGTGGGGTAGAGTGCCACACAACAGACGGTGGGTCGATGGTACGTTCCATGGCCGGCACTGGTATGATATGTTAAACCCAGTCTCTGAAGCCCTGTGGGGATTCCAGGTGAGAAATGGTCACCAGCAGCCTGTTCCAGTCACACAAGGTGATTTACAGATTCGGTGGTCAGTTTTGTTGGCTTTCTTGATTGCATGTCATTGTACTCTGACTGTATGGATTGTCTGGTTGATACTAAATTATTTACAAGCTGCCATGAAGTTGCTTGACTATTCCCAAGTGTTCCGGTGAGCACAAACAAATATTATATTTCTTGGTGTTCCTGCTTTATCGGTTTCACTGGTGGCTATGCAGAGTTGTGGGCCTTTGTCCTACCAGGATCATCTGATATTGGGTGTAAGTGATCCCAGAAAACAATTATCTTCCCTAACATAAATAATGTTTTGAAGATCTTTCTTGTTGTAATGGAGTTTTGATGCATGTCAGAAAGAAGATGGCCCCATGCTCCATTGCTTGACTGACATTTTAAACCAAACCCAATTTATTAATTTCTTGGAGGGATGGAAATCAGAACAAAATGCCAATAACTGATTTATTTTCCAGCCATGCCGATGGAAAGTCTGGCAGCCAAGGCTTCAGCAACAGCGGTTACTTCTGTCCCCAATGCAAGAGCAAATACTGTGAGCTGCCCATAGAGTGCAAGGCTTGTGGTAGGTGGTGGCCATGAGAGACATGTTTGTTTGTTTGTTGTTTTACACCGCACTCAGCAATATTCAAGCTGTATGACCGCAATCTGTAAATAATCGTGTCTGGACCAGACAGTCCAGTGATTGACATCATGAGCATCGATCCAGACAATTGGGATACGATGCATGCATCAACTAAGTCAGCGAGTCTGACCAGCCGATCCCGTTAGACTCCTCTTATGCCAAGCATTGTCGCATCTTAGCCCAAGCATGGGCAGCTGAGGACATATTCTGACCTGGATCTTCATGGGATGACGTGAATGAATTGTGGGGACATCAAAATGGTGGACAAGGTTTCACGAGTAACAGACTACAGATATAACAAATATATTTCACCAGTGCCTTTGTTTATGACCATGTTTGATGTCACTGAGATATCACTCACTCACGTAGTTTCTTCCTTTATTGTTGTATGATATATTTCTATTTCCAGGTTTGACGCTAGTGTCCGCCCCACACCTCGCCCGGTCCTACCATCATCTGTTTCCACTGCCAGCTTTCAAGGAAACCCCAGTGTCGAACTTGTCAGCCAATCCAAAGTGAGTCTGCATTGTGGACACCCGTGAAGATGCGTGTAGAGAATAGGTCTTCAGCAACCCCTGCTTGCCATAAAAGGCGACTATGCTTGTTGTAAGAGGCGACTAATGGCGTCGTGTGGCTTGGTTGATGCATGTCATCGTATCCCAACTATAAATCGGCCGGACTAGTACAAGCAGCCACACACATGCATGCATGTCGCTATATACGTGCAATAATCTTGGACACGACGTTAAACCCAATTTCACCTCACCTCACCTCACCAAGTTTTCGTCAGTAATTTACTTATCATTTTTCATTATGTGGTTGAAATGGTATGTGGTTGGATCATTAGACAATGTTTCCTCTTGTTACAGGTGCTACTCTTGCCAGATCCAAATCACAGAACAAAACGTGAGTGTTATTGTCAAATACAGATTCCTGCTGCATTCCAGGTTAGAACATGTCTCCATCAACATGTTCAACCTCTACTTGTTGAAAGAGGCAACGTTATGTCCCCATCAATTTATTCACAAAAGCAGTGAGATAAAAATCAACAATACCAATCAGAATGTCTTTTCTGAACAAGAGTTCAGAACAAATCTTTATTCCAAAATGTCATATGGATTATCTAAATCAGAAGACATATAAATGCACTTTCAGATGGAAAAGTTGTTTTCCTTGATATTAAGATCGATAGAGGTCCATATGCCAAGAGGGGCACAGGTGGCACAGTTGTCTAAGATGTTCCATTTTGCTGTGCAGAGTTATGTCCCTTGGGCACACCTAAATCCAATGATCATGGGTTCAAATACCGGTTCACCCGATTATTTTTCTAGGTTTGTCAGCCCTGCTCGTGGGTTTTACCAGGTGATAAACGTCTGAGACCGGCTTCTTTCCTCACACATTACGCGGACACGCTGGGATATAACTGGAATACAGTTCCAAGCGGTGTTAAGCCCAACTCACTCACTCATCCCTTATGCTAAGAATAGTTTGATTTGATTTTCTGACCAAGTTCTGCATCATGTTATTTGAACTGGACATGAGACAATGGTTCCACAGTGTCCTTGTGAGTAGAATATCGAACCCTGGGAGGGTTGTTCAGATACCAAAATTTCCAACAAAGTAAACTTAAAATCTATACTTGCCCAGTTTGATTTTCAACTTGCTCTGCTAAATCAGAGAAAGGAAAAAAGACAATTAGACAAGCCAGTGTCACTATCGATGGTCAACCACTGGAACTCACCTAACCCAACCAAGAACCATTTCCGTTTTATTTCATATGATTTGTCCTTTTCCACTTGTATTTTTCGTTTTTTATCGTTTATATTTTCAGTTGTCTTTGTTTCTATATTGAAAAATTGTCCAGAGGATCATCCATGTCAGTTAAACTGGAAATATGATATCTAGAGATACACAATGTTTGATTAGTTAACATATTAACAGTTCAGCCAATCAGAAAAAATCGGAAAAAATACATTCTTAATTTGGAAACGTGTACACTGACATCTCACTGACTTGGTTGATGCATGTCATCGATCCCAATTGCGTGGATCGATGCTCATGATGTCAATCACTGGATTGTCTGGTCCAGACTTGATTATTTACCGGCCGCTGTCATATAGCTGGAATATTGCTGAGTGCGGCGTTAAACAACAAACCAACCAACACTGACATCTCGACTTGATAATGTTAAAGTGACTATCAGAATTAACCATGGAATTCCAAATGGGATTTTTATCCAGTGAGTAGACTGGTACCTGCTTCTGTTCACACACTCGCTATGCTACATAACAGTCACAGCTAGAATTAAAGCATTAGGACAGGGATCCAGTCTAATCCAGCGAGGAGTTTGTGTAAAGGGAGGTAATTCAAAATTATGTTCGAAGCACACAGTGTATCTTCTAAGTTTCAAAGTTAACACCGTCAAGGGCAACTAAATGGTGTTTTCCCACTTGCCCACCAGCACTTTATTGTCATAGGTCGGAAAAGTCCGCCATGCTTTTTAAAAAACCCTGCCTGATTGATCCAGGATGGGGTTCACAGGACCAGTAGAAATAACGGAAAGTGGGGTGATTGTTCCGTTTATGTCATCAACTTGAAATACGAAATGATTTATACCCCTGGTGATATTTTGACCTGTAATCAGAGCTCCAGATAAGCTGCGTATCTGCGTAAAACACGCATCAGAAATGCAGAAATACTCAGTAAAATAAATTCCAAGCGTATCAAATACGCAACGAACATTACAAATACGCTACAAAAATAAAACTTGTGCGTATTATCAAAATATTGTGAAGTAACCCTGCGTATTCGATGAGCAAATCAGCAATGTATTTTGAAATTATAAACGGACATTCCGTCAACCTTGCCAAACTCCACGATGACAGTTACATCATGATCCTTTGCCATCACACTTTCTTTTGGAAGTATCGTGGTATTTTTGAGTCCTATAAAGCTCTCGAACCCACACGACACCAGTTTGAAGGGACTAGATGAATAGCTTATCTTGAGCACTGTGTAATACAGTAAACTACGGTTATTACGAACTCAAAGGGACCACTAATTTTAGTTCGTTATAACCGTAGTTCGTTATAAGTACATATAAAGCATGACTACAGCAAGTAGTCGGGACCAAAAAGTAAGTTCGTTATATCCGTCAGTTCGTTATAAGCGTGTTCGTTATAACCGTAGTTTACTGTATTATAACAACTCACTCACTGACACGTAGCTTCTATTCCAGGTGTATATTTGTGAGAGCTGCAGCCAGTTGTTTTGCCTGGACTGCGACCTGTTCATCCACGAGACTCTCCACTCCTGCCCTGGGTGCTCAAGCTTCAGGGGGACCCAGCTCCAGTCTCAAATACCCATGATTACATGATCAGATGAAGATGTTACATGGGTACAGTGTGTGAAGCCCATTATGGGGCTTCCATTGCTCGCTGTTGTACTTTTGGGAGGGAAGACAAGACAGGCCATTACAGACTTTGTTGCTGCCCCGATATGGCTGCAATATTGCTCACGTAACATTATTTGGGTAATTGATCCCCACCACATTGTACTTGTCATTCAAGCGGACCAAATGGATCTGGTGGGCGGACTGGATGAATTGGTTGATAGAATGTCTTTGCATTCCTTTCAATCACTGACTTGTCTGGTCCGTAATTTGTTATTTACAGGCTGTTGTCATATTGCTGGAATATTGCCGAGTGTGGTGTTTGACAAGAAGCAAACAGAACATTTACTTGTTACTGTTAACACACAAAATATGATGATGAGGAGGAGGAGGATGCAAATAAATGGATCAAAGTGAACTTGTCATTTTAGTTATGTTATTAATTAATTTTTAATTAATTTTCAAAGGAATGTTCTTGGAACCGAGAAATTTCAACCAGTAATATCATGGGAATCTTCCTGTAATATTCTCGAAACTGTGAGACCTCCACCATTAGTGACATTTGAATGTTCTTGAAACTGAGAGGTCCCTTCCAGTAATGTTGCCTGAATCTTCTTGAAAAACAGATGTATAATATCAACTAGTAATGTCACCAGAGTTTTCTGGAAATTGAGAGACCTCTACAAGCGACACTGGAATGTTCTTGAATCTGAGAGGGGACGGTGGGGTAGCCTTGTGGTTAAAGTGTTCGCTCGTCACGTGTGAAGCCCATTTTCTCGTGTACCCTACCGTGTTATTGCTGGAATATTGCTAAATGTGGCATAAAAGCATACTCATTCACTTACTGAAACTGAAACATCTCTACCAGTAATGTCATTTAAATGTTTATGAAACTGAGAGATCCCTGCCCTTAATGTCGTTTGAATCTTGAATCAGAGATCTCTACCAATAATGCGAGAGTTGTTCAAATATGAGGGATCAGTGTTGTTATTTGTTGAGCTAAAAATCAAATTTTCGTTGTGTTCATTGAAATTCCTGCATTCTGATCAGCTGAACTGGTCACGTGTTATTGCATTCATTTCCTCATGAATGTAAAAAAATTAAACCACGCCCACCGAGGCGCACTTCGTTTATTGCTGCGAATCCCAATATTACAGTCGAAGGAATTCCCTTTCTGCTCACGTGTATCGTCATGCACAGGACATTTAGCGACATTCATGCATATTCATTGTCCAAACTACCCTTTGAAACCGAAGGCCGAGAATGAATGAAACAGCAAACGTGCAGGCTCGCTCGCCTGTTTATTTCTCGCTCGCCTCGGTTCAACTTTCATGTCTTCGGGTTTAATTTCTAACTAGCATTTTCCCAACTGTGTTTTCCCGCTCTCATGGAACTAATATTTGAATCTGGCGGTAACTGACCATGTTATTTGAAATAGCCGCCTTCTCCCGGACATATTTCTTCCCGTTGCAGTTCTTCTCGCCGCTTGCAACGCGGATTCATACAGTTTGCACATCGGTTTTTCGATTCATACCTCAATGAACCGAAAAAATCACACAGTCAATCCTTAAAAGCGACAGAGCCCTTTTTCCATCATCATAAGAGATCTATCGTCCAACTCTGTCATGAGCGTGTGTTCATGAATCATTATCAAAGAGTGTTCGCATGGGCGGATACAGTATTTATTTCTGTATAAATTACCACCAAAGACAATAAATAGATCTTAATTGTAGATCTTAAACGTTAAAAGATGGTACTTGTTAATTGTTACCCTGTCTGGCGCTCGGCATTAAGGGGCTAAAACAAGGACTGGTCGGCTCGGAGTCAGTATACTGTGTCTGAGTGGGGTATTCATGTTCAACTGCGGCATGGTATCTCAGTGAGCTAGCACTATAAATCGGCATCAGTCCGGACTAGTACAAGCAGCCACACACACACACGTGCATGCGCGTCGCTATATAAATGCAATAATCTTGGACGCGACGTTAAACCCCATTTCACCTCATCTCACCTCAAATTATCGATACACCTGAATCTTAAGGTAAACTGCTCTTGGCATAACTGCCTTGTTTTGATTTTGCCATCCGTTTTCTGACTCGTATGCATAAATATACAGATAAACAAGGAAGGAACATAATTGTTGCCTTCGGGGATGCCTACATGACTTAATGTCTCTATTTCACATAAGTTATATTCAAGGACGTTCAGTATTTAACTCAATTCGTTCTCAGTAAAATCAAAATGGCATTTGCTTTCATTTTGACAAATTGTCCTGAACCTCCAAAGATAAAGATGTAACTATATGTAAGGTCACCACGTTTAATGACAAATGCATTGATTTTGTCGAACGGAACTCACTGGCTCTTGTTGAGGACATCACAGATGAATCGCACAATATGTGATGTCAATATTTATCGGTGGAGCTTAATGTATATTTGATAATATTTTGACTTCCGGTCTATCTGTTCGTAGCGAAGCACTTGTAAGAGCCTTCTTTCTGCCTTGGGCAGGTAGGTTATCCAGTCGGCCATGCGTTTTGTTAGTGTTGAATGTTTTTGACCATTTATGCAGAAGCGGCTCTGTATATTTGTCTAACTGTATCCTAACAACCGCCGATAGCTGAATGAATTATTCAGAGATTATTGTCACGTTTGATATCTATCTATAAAAATCTATCGTAAAATACATATTATTGTGGAGCGAATTTCTCTGTTGTTGGAGGTCTTTGAAAAACATTTCCTATTTGATAAAAGTTGTAAAACCAAAGGTTGTGATGAAAGGCCAATGGCTTTGAAGCTGCCCGGGGCAGACAAGTCTGCTCAACTCCACAACAATAGGCCTTTTGACGTAAATATCTCACCGACAGATGGTATATATTCTTTGTTCAGATTCGTGCAAGAGGCAGACTAGTTTTTTTGCCACTGCTTCCAAACATATGTTGGGTAGCCTGATGGTTAAAGCGTTCGCTCGTCACGCTAAAGACCCGGATTCGATTCCCAATATTGGTACAATGTGTGAAGCCCACTCACTCACTCAATCACTCTCCTTGAAAGGGGGAACCACATGTATTTCTTCATCGTCCCGAGGCAAGGGAGTTTAAAAATCCAGTTACCACCATTGCCGAATTCGGCTGGAATTTCCAGGCTCGATCGTAGCGCCACCAGTGGCTAATACGACTTAGGTCCCTTCTATGTCCCTCCTATTGACCAATCACATACCAAACTCATATCACTTGCATTGGCTTCAAACAAAATGGCGGCGCCCAGTCACTCGATATTATCGATAATCAAGAACAATATTGAAATAAAACGGGTCGTTTACGCATCAGGATGTCCAGTTCGTTGCGCGATTTTGGTTGGACAATGCATTGACTCGTTAGTCCAGCCAAAATGTAACTCCATAATTCCAGCCTAGTTCAACAAGGTGGAAACTGGACTTTAATAGTCAGTTAACGCCCTTGACTCGGGATAATGACACTTCTTTGTAATCACATCTCGTCTTGTAAAGCTGAATCAAAAATAGTGAAAAAGGTTTTTATACAGCAAATTCTCTCTCACCCCACCTCTCCTCCCCCATCCCCACCCCCTACACGCGCGCACGCACACACACACACACACACACACACACACACACACACACATACCCACAAACACGCACGCACGCATGCTCAAAAATTAACATGGCCGGTCATTGAACTAACCAAGCTTGCTGCATTTTGTTGTTTGATACAAAATAAAAAGAACACCTTTCTTACAACAGATTTTTATTTCTCAGTAAAGGATCACAAGGCACGGAAGAGAAGGGATCTTACCTATTAAAATAACGCCATGGTAGCGGTTCCTTTGTAAAGCGATACAAATTTCAAAACGGTATATAAATGCTCTAAGTCCCTTGAATTAACCCAATTCACTCTGGAAAGATAATCTGTGCCTCCCTGTACACGTAGCTCGTTAGTTATTTTCTAATTGCTCCCCACAATGACAGATTAATCCGTACATTAGTTAATCCGGTCTAATCCACTGAAAACACTGTCGTCCGGATGAACGAGGTCACTTTGTTTAAGATCGAGTAACATTCGTGACTCATTGAAGCAATTAAGTATTTAGAGAGCTGCACGCACCTTGTAATGTGTTAAAATGGACAATCGTGTCTTATGCGTCTTGTGTACCCCTAGGTGTCTAAGTAGTTTCTTGGAGTCCCCATTACTTCCTTTGTGGCTTTCCAATTTGTTTGTTTTTCAGTTGAGTGAGTGAGTGAATTGGGTTTAACGCCGCTTTGAACAGTGTTCCAGTTATTTCACGGCGTGTCAGCTTAATGTAGGAGGATAGCCCGAAGTGATGCAGGTCTCAGACCTATACCACTTTGGTGAAACCCACGAGCACGGATATGGACAAAAGTAGAAACATAATCGGGGCGAACCGGGATTCGAACCCACGATCATATGTTTCTGGCGTGCCCAAGGGACGCAACTCGAATGACGGCGAATTTGACGACTGGGCCACCCATGCCCCCTGATATTTTCGAATTTAACATGTATTTGATAAACCCGAATTCTCCCATCTCTCTGTCCCAGCATGAACTGGAGGGCGTTCTTTACATTTACACGCATCTTAACATCACGCTATTGTTGGAATTCACTGGCCATTCCCTACATGTAAACCTGAGGCAGCTATAGGTCATTTTGCAAAACAATAGAGAAAATATACATCAACCATACCATGGTTAAACTTAATATTGATTTGAAGACAAGGTTGACTGCAGATACTGTACTGATTTGAAGATAGGGTTGACTGTAGAGAGAACTGGATACTGTATTGATTTGAAGACAGGTTTGACTGTAGAGAGTACTAGATACTGTATTGATTTCAAGACAGGTTTGACTGTAGAGAGTACTAGATACTGTATTGATTTGAAGACAGGTTTGACTGTAGAGAGAACTAGACACGGTATTGATTTGAAAACAGGATTGACTGCATATATTTATTTGATTTGAAGATAGGGTTGACTGTAGAGAAAACTAGATACTGTATTGATTTGAAAAAAAGATTGACTGTATATATTGTGTTGATTTGAAGTACTAGATACTGTATTGATTTGAAGAAAGGGTTGACTGTATAGAGTACTAGATACTGTATTGATTTGAAAACAGGATTGACTGCATATATTGTATTGATTTGAAGAGTCGGGTTAACTGTAGAAAGTACCAGATACTGTATTGATTTGAAGATATGGTTGACGCTACATACTGTACTGATTTGAAGAAAGAGTTGACTGTAGAGAGTACTATATACTGTATTGATTTGAAAACAGGATTGACTGTAGAGAGAACTAGATCCTGTATTGATTTGAAAACAGGATTGACTGTATATATTGTATTGATTTGAAGATAGGTTTGACGCTAGATACTGTATTGATTTGAAGAAAGTGTTGACTGTAAAGAGTACTAGATACTGTACTGATTTGAAGACAGGTTTTACTGTAGATACACTGTATTGATTTTCTACATAATGTGACAGTACATATATACACCACTAAAAGTTTGGACAAGTGTTTCATTGGACAACGAGAACTAAATAAATATCACAGGGTGAGCTTTGTATGAGAAGAACTTGCTTCAGACTTAAGTGCTTTGAGCAAGAAGTGGCCATCATGCTATGTTTTAACACTTCCATCTTAAGATCTTTGTCGTCAAACACAGTGTTCTGTATTCTTTTAGAAACAAATGCTAACATGTTAACGATTTACACGGCAAGAACCCTTTGTTGAACACTAATGGGAGTCTTCACCTCCCTGATATGAACATTAGAAAAAGTTCTGAAATGACTTAGTACACAGGTGTTTTGGGGGTGCTCGCCATTCAAAAACAACACCATGGTTACCTTCGATCGCTAAAAATAGACTGGCTTGTTCTAACCAATCAAAATGACCATGCGATCAAGATTTGAACCAATCAGACATCTCCTCTTATAACGTTTTGTTGGTGGTGGCACTCTGCTCTCCTAATGCCCGATGTTATTTACACAAATGGCGGGAAAAGCCGCGTGGAATCGAGGTTATGAATTGAAATTTGTCGACATGTTGTTTCGACTTGAACATATCCCAATTCCGTCTGTGTCTTAAATTCAAGACACGTGGCAGACAGATAATGATTCAAACTTGCACATTATCAACACGATAACTGGACACCAGTGTTGCCTATTTTTGCTATCTGTCAATTGATGCACGAAAGAATTATCCCCGTTTATTTAGGTTTTCATTGGTCGTCTATTCTTAGATTCACGTTATTCTATTTTTAGGGATCAAAGGCTACGTCAAACACATGGCACATGAAATAACGCCACGCGTATATGCAACATTTAAAAGAAAATAGACAATATAAAAGAAAATACATAACAAACATCAAACAATTGAATACGCCAATGTAGAAAATAGGTTTCAGCAGTTTGCTTGTTTCATTTACAGGTAGTCATCGATCGTACAATCCAACCGCTGTTTTATCCCAAAGCAAAGCTAATCGTGTTATTTTGAACATCACTGTTGTTGCACAGATCGGTAATTATGATGTTTTGCGATGAAAGTGAATTTCATTGTGATGTTTTTAGGTCATGTGGTATTTTAGGTCTTCCAGCGTTTGGATATCGCTCGATGACTTCCTCTATACCACTGACGAGTGGTTTGTTTATTTAAAAAATGTTACTTGTATATTTATTGACTGACTATCCAAAATTGACATCTATAAGGATATTGCATTGCACAAGAATGCTAATATGGATAAATAATTATGTACATTTCTCATGAAGTTTCTTTCACTCGTTGCTACGTGTTATCGACGAAATATATCACATAATTGTTTGATGACTTTGAACAGCTTCTGTATAACTGTATAATGTAATTAAATATGTAACATGTTTGAAGTGTCAATATTGTAGATGTAAGCAAAACAATATATATTTTAAACAGTTTCATTTGAAGAACGTAGCTCGAAAACTCATTCGATAGAGGTGCATGACTTTTGTTCGTTGATTTTGAAACCTGTTCCATGAAATTTTAGTCACGTAATAAATATACAGTTAAACACCGTTGTGCCGAAGTTGAAGGAACCTTCGTAAATACTTCTATTTATCCGAGGTTCGACACAACCGAAAATTATGAATAAAGAAGGAATACGCAGGAACAAGGTTTACAAACGTAAGCTCGACACAATGGTGTTTTACTGTACCATAATATTCGAAACACCTCATCTTTTCCTGCCTGATATTTTTTTTCCAAAACGATCGAATACATCAACGTCAACATTGTACCTAAATGGTTTGATAATCTCATTTAGTACGGACAAGCTATATTGTGTTACATGTAAATTTGTTCACAATGAGGTGTTCCGAATGGTCATCTTACTGAACATTCGTGACCACTCGTATATTTCCGTCATCTCATTACACAATCGTGATCACTCGTACCTTATCCCCAAGTTCTCATTCGTCAACATTCGTGAATCATTCGTCACCACTCGCCTCTTTCCGTAACCTGCAAGAAGACTCGTCCCCCTATCGATGAATGTTATGTGCGAAAATACGACAAACCTATCAGAATGCGCGTATGATTTCAAGTTCTTCGTCAAAGAATCCCTCAGAAATAAGTTTTGATTTTACATATGTCTAGCATCTAAAAATATACCCAAGACACAGTAAAATGTGCCAAATCATACTGTATAATTCCGCACGTCCCGATGTGCTTTAAATTGCATCGGGGAAAATATATGTGAACCATTACGCAACGAGTTGAAATTGTTTTAGGTATGCCCGTTTGCGCTAAGACTGAACTCGGTCGTGAAAAAGCCATGAGAGTCGCACGAGTCGCTATTCGGTTTGTCCCGGAATAACACGAGTTGGTCACGAATGACTCGTGAATTTCCTTCCTTTCAATTCGTGGCTTCTGCACGAACATTACAGGGTTGAACACACGAAATTAACACGTGTCAGCGAATGTCTAATTATACATTCTCCACAATTAAAGTTTTTTCCTCTAAATCGATACTTATTCAGGATACGATCACTAATGTCACGATCTGCCGTGAAAAAATAGACTCTACTTTCGTGCCTTTCCGTGATAGAAACATTCAGCAGATCTCGGAATGGCACGAGTGGTTACGAATGTTATTTAGTATTGTTGACCAATCACTGTCACTGGTTCCATGTTCGGCCTGTTCCGGCCCTTCATTTCGCCCTGCCACTTGAAGACTTCCGTTTCCTTTTTGTTCACCCAGCTTTTGCAGCAAGGCAGGTGCATCAATATGGCCACAACCAGGATGAGGCCACCCGCACACGCGAACCCCTTCAGGAGGCCCTCCCACATCACGGCGTTGTTGTCGCGCTTGGCTTGCTGAAAACACAAGGCAATCAATGTTTACAGACAAAGCTAAAAATTGAAGGATATTTGAAGTGTGTTGGATGAACAAGCTTTTTGATTTAGATAATGTAGGTCTATCTTTCGTTCCAGATTTGTTGTCGCGGTTATTGCCGTTGTTGCCCCAAGTGAGTGAGTGAGTGAGTGAGTGAGTGAGTGAGTGTTATGCCACATATTACCAACATCCCAGTAACATCGGGGGACACCTGAAATGGGCTTCACATATTGTAACCGTGTGGGGAATCGAACCCGTTCCATCAGCTTGACACGATAATGCTCAAACCACTTGACAAGACATGGCCCAGATGAAAGGCAGGCACTCGACAACATTGAATATTTTGAGTATTTTTTGTTTTAACGGGAATTCAAACACAACACTCCACACTCACTTCCATGGAATAACATGACATAAAATTTCTAAATAGCAAAAGACACCAGTTCAGCATGTACCTGACAAACCTGCAAAATTTCATGAAAAAATATTGAACGGTTTATGAGTTATGCTCCGGAAACGAACCCTACCCTCACAGAACCTAAGTCCATCTTGTTGCCATGGAAACGTAAAAAATAATAATTTCTAAATAGCAAAAGGCACCAGTTCTGCATGTACTTGACAGACCTGCAAAGTTTCATGAAATAATATTGAACGGTTTCTGAGTTATGCCCCGGAAACGAAACGGGACGGACGGACGGACGGAGCCCGTTTCTATATCCCCCGCCAACTTTGTTGGGCGGGGGATAATAAAACAATACCACCATTTACGCAGCGACTTCATGCGTGTCCGTACAGCAGTATGGTGATATATGTGCCCAGGGAATGTGTCATACACAACGGGTGCCCAGGGAATGTGTTATACACAACAGTGTTGGTGAACTGTGGCAGCGTCATCGTTTACAGCACAGAAAACAATGTTCCACAAAACGTCGATAAACGCATCGCCTCAAGGGAGATATTTACGATCTACGTGAACACTGAACAGCACATTATCTACTGTGCAGGACAATCAGTTGGAACTGAGAGTATTTATCACCTTGACAATCGCTTTGAAGAAGCAAGCCAACACCGGGACCTGTGTTTGTCGCCGTGCAAATAGATGAGCCATACATTTCTTTCAATCGTCCATTTGAAATACTTCACATGCTGTGTGTCTTGTACTGATAGTATAAAATACATCATATATCACTCTGGCACCTATCACACGGGAACACAAATTAACTATTTGTCTGGACGAATAGACAATCCCTTCACAGTCTGAACATCGACCGAGCGCTGTACAATGGACAAGGCTGTCTATTCCTATTGAGCTAGATCTTTTTGGAGGTGGACTATAGCGATGCCCGCAGTGACGTCAGAACTGGACGCTATTGATATTATATCCTATTGATAACAAAAAAAGAGCGGTATAGATGTCAACCTTTACATCTTGGGCGCGTTGCAAGCCACGAATCGCTCAGAGAAAACAAATTGATCGCTCATCCTGGGGTCTGCAACAGTTCGAAGCGCTTTCCCACTCTGCCAAAATGGCGGCGCAACTACCGCTTGGTTGCCTTGACGTAATGAAGAACGTAATAGAAGAGGCTCGATGACAAGCTGATGAGGATGTGGAGCAGACTGAGGATGATGGGGTGATAGCTGCCTTTGCTCATTTCCTCGTTGATCCAGTCAAGAAATTCTTGTTCCGCTGTCAAAGTCAACCGCCGTTTTGGTTTGAGACATGAATACCCCACTCAGACACTGTATACTGACTCTGAGCCAACCAGTCCTTGTTTTACCCCCTTAATGCCAAGCGCCAGACAGGGTAACAACAAGTACAATCTTTTAACGTGTTTTGGTATGACGCGGGCGGGGATCGAACCCCGGACCTTCCGCTCTCCGGGCGGACGCTCTACCACTAAACCATGGAGGCGGTCTAATGTGGGAGGAAAGCCCGGAGTGATGCATGTCTCAGACGTCTACCACTTCGGTGAAACCCACGAGCACGGGTATGGTGCTGACAAACCTAGAAACATAATCAGGGTGAACCGGGATTCGAACTCACAATCATAGGTTTCTGGCGTGCCCAAGGGACGCAACTCTGCACAGCGAATCGCGGCGCCTTAGACGACTGGGCCACCCGTGCCCCCACCAGTGGACGAAGGCAAATTTTGTTTTGGTTGACACCGAAACGTTTAACTTTAAAAGGTTAATTTAGAATGTTTTAGTTTGATAACGAATTCATTTTTCCTTATCACTGACAGAAACAAACAATTGGATGGAAAGTTTTTTCGTGTCGGCAAACAGTTTAAAGTAAAGTGGTGTTTGTTGATATGATGGTTTTTTCATGTGCACGGGGTACGAACTGTTGCCATGTCTTCTATTTAACCCTGTGACAAGGCAAACACATGTTTATTAGACCTTTGTCACAGAAACAATATACAATGAATATTACATCGTGCTTCTCGGTAGGGGAGTGTAGTTTTGTATGGGATGGGCACCCTAAGGACACGACCGGAAAAACGCATGGCCTTGCAATACCTATCTTCCTGCAAAACATGACGACGCATCACTCCGTGCATGGCCGACCAGGACACAGTCTTTTCCAGATCGATTTATTGCATTTGATTATTGATTTATTAGCCATACAAACTCAATAGGTATTTGCCACTAGATTAGATATTGCCACAAGACTAGATGTTATATTGAGTCACTGTGTCTGACCCGTGAAGATCCGCCGGGCCGCTTGCACAAAGCGATCTTAGCGCTAAGATGATCGTAACTCCCATACTTTAACATAGGCTTACAATAGTCTTAGCGCTAAGATCGCTTTGTGCAAGTGGGCCCCGGGTTAGAAGAGGCTGCTTTGAACACTATCTCAGTGACATCAAAACATGGTTTTAACAAACTTAAAGGCACTGGTGAAATATATTTTTTTTATATTCGTAGTTTGTTCCTCGAGAAATTTTGTCCACCAGTTTTCTGTCCCCACAATTCATATACATGTGTACCTGTGAAAATCCTGGTTAGAATAGGTTTTCAGCGACCCATGCTTGCCTCTAACGTTGTGACATGTAGACACCAAAGGCTGGAACTGCTGGAGTATTGCTCGACATAAAGAGAAAGTTTTCTATTTGAAAGTTGAAGTCATCCTCTTGTCATACATTCTTGTGGAGAGTGCTTTGTCACTCTGAATCTGTATGTGTAGCGGCCATAAAATTTCCGAGTCCCGTGATGGGATTCGAACCACGGACCTTCTGATCCGAGGTCGGACGCCTTGTCCAAAGAGGTTAACCCCTTCAGCAAGATGACAAGGTAAGGATGTCATCTGTGGGATGACTCCACGCCCTGCTACATATGCATAGATCTAAATGTGAGACAGACGATGCGGTGTCACTGGTCTCCTTTATTTCTCGTTCAGAGGGGAAGATCAGTGGGAGGGAATCGGCTCTCTGACCGTTATTTAACGATCTTAGACCATCGATATACCTGAAGCTTAAGCTTAACTCCTTGAACATGTGACCTTGTTTTGACCAATACGGGCTCATACGCATACACAAAGATGATCAACAAGAAGGGGTGCACAATTGGCGCTCACGGGGACGCCTTCTTCTTAAATGTCTTACCCCCAAATTTTACATTATCAATGAGGAAGTCCAGTATTTCACATATTGTCTTCTCGACCCGTTAAGATCCGGGGTAGAACAGGTCTTCAGCAACCCATGCTTGCCGTAAAAGGCGACTCTGCTTGTCGTAAAAGGCGACTAACGGGATCCGTAGGTCAGGCTCGCTGACTTGGTTGATGCATGTCATCGTATCCCAATTGCGTGGATCGATGCGCATTATGTCAATCACTGGATTGTCTGGTCTAGATTCGATTATTTACAGACCGCCGCCATACAGCTGGAATGTTGCTGAGTGCGGCGTTAAACATCAAACAAACAAACAAACAAACAAAATATAATTGTTTTCTCAGTCAACTTCACATGGCATTTGCTTTCAATTTTGCAAATTTTCCTGAACCTAGATAGATATGTAACTACATCTATGGTCCTGACGCTTAGTACCACAAAGATCGATTTGTTCCCTTTACCTTGTCATGAGGGAGAGTGGTGTTACAAGTTAAAAAAATCAAATGTTTTGACAGAATTAAATTTGGTCATTTTCTGATATCACAGAAAATCAAGCAAATCCTGAGAGTCTTCGAGAACCCACATGGTATTAATTCCACTTGTCTCAAACACTTTCTGTGAATATACAGAAAAGTCCATCCTTGATGTATAAAGGATTACGTTTATTCTTGGAGACAGGGATTCGGTGGTATCGTGGCAGGACCCAGCACTATATCTCCCTTCGTATGGATTTCGTTTGGATTTTTATGGATTTTCACAAGGAAGTTTAACCTGGTGTCTTTCAAAACAATGCAATGCGGCTATGACACGGTGTTGACATGGTATGGTTAAGATAAATAGATGTAGTTCCTTTGGCTAGCCATTAGCGGCCGGATTATTCGATTTACCAGCCCCGGTCGTGCGATATCAAGCCATGTCTTGTCCGTCGTACATATGGTAGATCAATTAAATGTGTTCTATGATTGATTATTGACTGAGATCACCTCATCCTGAAAGGCGCCTTTGATGGAGCAATGCAATCGATGATCATGAGCGGAAGCAATATTGTGGCAATGTTTTGTTGAACAACTGTTATCAGTGTAAAACAAGATGCGAGTGTTGATGGCCATGCACTTGTCATGTGCTTGTCATGTGCTTGTCATGTGCTTGTCAGTGCGAATACATTTAATACTAATTTTTCAGTGAGATATCAGGACTACTTTTCACCAATCCTGTAGGGGACATCGGGTACTTGGTACCTGTGTTGCCCTAAATGAAGACAAATATGGGGTACCGGGGTCCTATTCTGCCCGGGAATCCACACAGGAAGACAAGCAGGGAGTACTGGGGACCTATTCTGCCCCGAATCCCCACAGGAAGACAAGCATGAGGTACTGGGGACCTATTCTGCCACGAATCCCCACAGGAAGACAAACATGGGGTATTGGGGACCTATTCTGCCCCGGAATCCCCACAGGAAGACAAACGTGGGGTACCGGGGTCCTATTCTGCTCCGGAATCCCCAGAGGAAGACAAACGTGGGGTACTGGGGACCTATTCTGCTCCGGAATCCCCAGAGGAAGACAAGCAGGGAGTACTGGGGACCTATTCTTCCCCGGAATCCCCACAGGAAGACAAGCAGGGAGTACTGGGGACCTATTCTGCCCCGGAATCCCCACAGGAAGACAAACGTGGGATACCGGGGTCCTATTCTGCCCGGGAATCCCCACAGGAAGACAAACGTGGGGTACTGGGGACCTATTCTGCTCTGGAATCCCCAGAGGAAGACAAGCAGGGAGTACTGGGGACCTATTCTTCCCCGGAATCCCCACAGGAAGACAAGCAGGGAGTACTGGGGACCTATTCTGCCCCGGAATCCCCACAGGAAGACAAGCATGAGGTACTGGGGACCTATTCTGCCCCGGAATCCCCACAGGAAGACAAGCAGGGAGTACTGGGGACCTATTCTGCCCCGGAATCCCCACAGGAAGACAAGCAGGGAGTACTGGGGACCTATTCTGCCCCGGAATCCCCACAGGAAGACAAGCATGAGGTACTGGGGACCTATTCTGCCCCGGAATCCCCACAGGAAGACAAGCAGGGAGTACTGGGGACCTATTCTGCCCCGGAATCCCCACAGGAAGACAAGCATGAGGTACTGGGGACCTATTCTGCCCCGGAATCCCCACAGGAAGACAAGCATGGGGTACTGAGGACCTATTCTGCCCCGGAATCCCCACAGGGAGACAAGCAGGGAGTACTGGGGAGCTATTCTTCCCGGAATCCCCACAGGAAGACAAACGTGGGGTACCGGGGTCCTATTCTGCCCCGGAATCCCCACAGGAAGACAAGCAGGGAGTACTGGGTACCTATTCTGCCCTGGAATCCCCACAGGGAGTCAAACGTTGCGTACCGGGGTCCTTTTCTGCCCGGGAAATCCACACAGGGTGACATGCATGGGGTATTGTGTACCTATTCTGCCCCGGAATCCACACAGGGAGACAAACGTGGCGGACTGGGTACGTATTCTGCCCCGGAATCCTCACAAGGAGACAAGCATGACGTACTGGGAACCTATTCTGCCCCGGAATTCCCACAGGAAGACAAGCATGGGGTACTGAGGACCTATTCTGCCCCGGAATCGCCACAAGGAGACAAGCATGCGGAACTGGGGACCTTTTCTGCCCCGGGATCCCAATAGGAAGATTTGTTTGTTTGTTTGTTGTTTAAGGCCGCACTCAGCAATATTCTAGCTATATGACGGCGGTCTCTTAATAACTGAGTCAAGTCAGTGAAGGAGGAAGTGTTTGTTTGTTTGTTGTTTAACGCCGCACTCAGCAATATTCCAGCTATCTGCGAAAAATCGAGTCTGGACTAGACAATCCATTGATTGATATCATGAGCATCGATCCACGCAATTGGGATCGATGACATGCATTGACCAAGTCAGCGAGTCTGACCACCCGATCCCGTTAGTCGCCTCTAACCAATAGGAAGACAGGCAGGGGGTACTTGGGACCTTGATATATAGAATGCTGACACAGGGTTGCTATTGGTATTGTTATAAAGAAGGATAAATGATGAAATCAATACTTACTGGTCGCGGTTTGGGAGTTGCTAGTCGCGCTGAAATGAGACAATGTTCATTGTTATTGAACAACAATTAACAATCACAATACATATTTTCGTACATCATTTTTATCTCTCTGTATCAAGCTCAACACCTCATGATTTCATTTACAAAGTACACAATCAGAACATGTTTCTGTGGAAGTAAACCCGTCTGTCGTGCCTCTATAGTTCCAATATATGAGATAGCCCAGTAGATCAAGTGTTCGCTCGTCGAAGGCCATTGGTTGATGCATTGTGATGCGATGAGCAATGGAACGAAACGATGGAGCGATGGCGAGATGAGATGGAACGATGCGTCAGAATGTTGAAGCGATGCGATAAATAATGGAACGATGCAGCAATAAGATAAAATTGCAGAAAAAAGTTCAGTGAGTTAATGTTGTTTAAAGCCGCACTGAGCAATATTCCAGCTGGAGCACAATGGCTCTGCCCGGGCCTACCAATGGTTGAAATTGTGAACAACGATCAAAGCAATCGTGAATGACAAGCGATTAGCAAAATCACCGAGCCTAACGCCCGCGCCAATAAGGACCTATTCCTCCTCAGAATCCACTCACTCACACAGTATCGCCTATTCTTGATAATCGCAAGATATAATGCCGTGGAGATTCCCAGACAGGATAATGCCGTGGAGATTCCCAGACAGAATAATGCCATGGAGATTCCCAGACAGGATAATGCCGCGGAGATTCCCAGACAGAATAATGCCATGGAAATTCCCAGACGGATTAATGTCGTGGAGATTCCTTGACAGAATAATGCCATGAAGATTCTCAGATAGAATAATGCCGTGAAGAGTTCCCAGACAGAATAATGACATGGAGATTCCCAGACAGAATAATGCCATGGGATTTCCCAGACGGAATAATGCCGTGGAGATTCCAAAACAGGATAATGCCGTGGAGATTCCTTGACAGAATAATGCCATGAAGATTCCCAGACAGAATAATGCCATGGAGATTCCAAAACAGAATAATGCCATGGAGATTCCCAGACAGGATAATGCCATGGAAATTCCCAGACAGAATAATGACATGGAGATTCCCAGACGGAATAATGCCATGGGATTTCCCAGACGGAATAATGCCGTGGAGATTCCAAGACAGTATAATGCCGTGGAGATTTCCAGACAGAATAATGCCGTGGAGCTTCCCAGACAGAATAATGCCCTGGAGATTCCTTTGACAGAATAATGCCATGAAGATTCCCAGACAGAATAATGCCATGGAGTTTCCAAAACAGAATAATGCCATTGAGATTCCCAGACAGGATAATGCCATGGAAATTCCCAGACAGAATAATGCCGTGGAGATTCCCAGACAGGATAATGCCGTAGAGATTCCCAGACAGAATAATGCCATGGAAATTCCCAGACAGAATAATGCCGTGGAGATTCCTAGACAGAATAATGCCATGGAAATTCCCAGACGGAAAAATGCCGTGGAGATTCCAAAACAAAATAATGCCATGAAGATTCCCAGACTGAATAATGCCATGGAGATACCAAAACAGGATAATGCCGTGGAGATTCCCAGACAGAATAATGCCATGGAAATTCCCAGACAGAATAATGCCGTGGAGATTCCTTGACAGAATAATGCCATGAAGATTCCCAGACAGAATAATGCCATGGATATTCCAAAACAGAATAATGCCATGAAGATTCCCAGACAGGATAATGCCATGGAAATTCCCAGACGGAATAATGCCATGGAGATTCCTAGACAGAATAATGCCATGGAAATTCACAGACGGAATAATGCCCTGGAGATTCCTTGACAGAATAATGCCATGAAGATTCCCAGACGGAATAATGCCATGGAGATTCCAAAACAGAAAAATGCCATGGAGATTCCCAGACAGAATTATGCTATTGAGATTCCCATGCTTGTCGTAAGAGTCAATTATTGAGGCTTATTGGCGTAATTTTACGCCGATGGCTTGGGTCGATGCTCATGATATCAACCACTGGTCTGTCTTACCCAGATTCGATAACTCACATGCCGCTGTGACATCTGGACTATTTTTGACTGCCTTGTAAAACGTCAAATAACATTCCTTCTGTCACCCGCAATATATAGGTTAACTTTGCTAGACCTTATGTGTACATGTTTAACGTCAACCATTTAATAAGGGGGCTGTCGGGTAGCCTAGTGGTTAAAGCGTTCGCTCGTCACGCTGAAGACCCGAGTTCGATTCCCGACATGGTACAATGTGTGAAGCCCATTTTTGTTGTTCCCCGCCGTGATATTGCTGGAATATTGTTAAAAGCGGCACGGTCAACTAAACGGATTGATTAAACCAGAAACTACATGAGAGATTAACATGATCAAAAGATCCACCTGCTTTCGACTTAACATCAAACACCACGAAAAATACTAGCATTAATAATTGTTTGTTCAGGGAATATGCATCTATATTTTGGCAATTATTGTACAAAGATTTGTGTACGTTTGTGGTTGTATGTGAGTGCGTACGTGCCTACGTGTGTGTGCGCGTGTGAAGTGTACGGGCGGTGTAACACCGCATCCAATATCATTAAAATCAAATCCCATCTCCGTGTGATACGGGGCGGTGTGGGTTAGCCAAGTGGTTAAAGCGTTCGCTCGTCCCGCCAAAGACCCAGGTTCGATTCCCCACATGGGTAAAATGTGTGAAGCCCATTTCAGGTGTACCCCGCCGTGATATTGCTGGAATATTGCTAAAAGCGGCGTAAAACCATACTCACTCACTCCGTGTAATGCGTCATATAGGAATAAAGATCTGACCCTGCCACGCCCATGTCCTACTTTACAACAAAGTCCAGGACCTTCGATTTTCTATCCAGAAAGAAAATACTTGGCATTGTCTCCTTGCTATTGTTAAACTGCCAACACTTAGTATAATCTTACTAAAACAAAATTGAAAGGGAAAACATTAATATATAAATACTTATTTGTACCAGTATATATGTAAATTACATCCATTCGTTTTCAATATGACAAAGATCCATTTTACAGAAATGCATGTTTATACAATGAATAATGCACGAGAGAATATTATATACGAGTCTTCCAATAGTTGACTGTCTTTGTTTGTAATCGTGATCTGGCCGCACAAGATCGAACTATGTCAATAGTTGGACAGAACTGGGGACGTCACATCTCTCCATATTTGATGATGTTTGTACAAATTAATCTTGGGTCGTTAGCACAAAGGTTCAGTCGATCGCAGATAGTTTGACATGTTTTTAATTTGTTGAAAGGTATAATTTGTATCCAAATTGCAATACCACTGCCGAGGTATTATTCTTATATTAGACGCAGTAAAAATAAACTGCGCACGTCACGACTGGACAACGTTCTTGTCCTTACGTCACGTTCTCCCACGTCAAACTGACTGCAGACGGAAACGTCATGGATATGTGCTCGAGTTCTGATTTTGTGGCCCAAAACTTTCAAAATGTGAACAACGACATTCCGTATAGATCTTAGCGCTGTGTGGAAGTCACTGTAGTCGTTTCATATTAAAGGTGAGGTGAAATTGGGTTTAACGTCGCGTCCAAGATTATTGCACTTATATAGCGACGTGCATTCACGTGTATGTGTGTGTGTGTGGCTGCTTGTACTAGACCGGAGTGATGCCGATTTATAGTGCTAGCTCACTGAGATACCATGCCGCAGTTTAACATGAATACCCCACTCAGACACAGTATACTGACTCCGATCCAACCAGTCCTTGTTTTAGCCCCTTAATGCCGAGCGCCAGACAGGGTTACAACAAGTACCATCTTTAAACGTCTTTTTGTATGACGCGGCCGGGGATCGAACCCCGGACCTTCCGCTCTCCGGGCGGACGCTCTACCACAAGACCACGGAGGCGGTTCGTTTCATATTTTATCGATGAACTTGCCCTTTGTTTAAGCTCCACTGCCCAAATCACTAAGCAGATTCCTCTCTGTTATTTTCACTTCTTCAGCACAGAGTCCTACAACTAACATGAACCCCTTTCACGACTAAACGATTTCCCTTTTCCAGAATGGTTCCAAAATGGTTCCAAAATGGCACGGACAGGACGTAAATTCAGCTGATCAAGGAAACCGAAACATGTTGATTTCACAGCGGGGATACCATTGCGAGTGACCGACCGAAGGTCCAAAATTCAAAGAACGGCACTTAAGACTGTTCCTGAAATTGTTCTGAGCACTAAAACTTTGCGCTGAAGTGAGTGAGTGAGTGAGTATGGTTTTACGCCGCTTTTAGCAATATTCCAGCAATATCACGGCGGGGGACACCAGAAATGAGCTTCACACATTGTACCCATGTTGGGAATCGAACCCGGGTCTTCAGCGTGAGGAGCGAACGCTTTAACCACTAGGCTACCCGACCGCCCCGTGCGCTGAAGTAGCAATTGTTGAAGACGTTCAAAAATAAACCGGTTAAGCGTTGTGCTGTCGCATCTACACACACAATACCTGCAACTCTTTATTAGCGTGTGTATTGAAATGTTGAAATTGTATCCCGACTGTAAATTACGAAATAGATATTTCTCTCATACGGAAGCCTCTTGGGGCCATTTGGTTTTTTTTAAGTTTCAAGATACAAACTAAGTTGAAATTTCTAGGTAATAAGTTCAAATTTCAACTTAGTATCTTGAAATTTTAAGAAAAATATGAAAAAAACAGGATTCCGTACATTTAAGATGCCGTTCATGTCTTATTTGTTTGTGGGGCCCTGCACAGCTACATTTAAAAAGGTATCCTCCTGTACATCACACTTCACTAACATAATAAAGTAAAAGTTGATATTATTTACAGCGATAGAGTGAGTGAGTGAGTTGGGTTTAACGCCGCTTTTAGCAGTATTCCAGTTATATCGCGGCGTGTCAGCTTAATGTGGGAGGAAAGCCCGAAGTGATGCAGGTCTCAGACGTTTAACAGTTCGGTGAAACCCATGAGCGCGGGTATGGTGCTGACAAACCTAGAAACATAATCGGGGCGAACCGGGATTCGAACA